TATATCCGCTAAATTGAGAATTTTTTCCTATAGAGAAAACTATTGGTACATCCGCTGTACATACACCTATGCTAAATAGGGAAATTTTTTGGGACTTTGAGAGAAAAATAAAGAAACACAAGGGTTTAAATAGAAACAAATTCGTTTGAAAAAAAGATGAATCCACTTGGGTATATTCGCTGCTTTCAAGAAAGTTTCTTGTGAAGAAAACCTTTGATTCATCTTTTGTACCTAGATATTTGCTAAATGATGAATTTTTTTGGAACTTAGAGAGAAAAATAAAGAAAAACAAGGGTTTAAATGAACAAAAAATTATTCATTTGGAATAAAGATGTATCCACTTGGATACATCCACTCCATTCAAGAAATTTTCATGTGGAGAATACTTTTGGTGCATTTGTTGTACTTTTATCTCTGCTAAATGCGAAAAGTTTTTGGGAATTAGAGGACAAAAATTATTTTGCAATATATTCATTTTTTTTTGCAAATACATCTTTATAAAATAATTAATATTTTAAACGTAATTTATTGTAACAGGGTGTAGCTAATCTTGAGCAGTGTGGCTGTGGAGGGAGAAAACCTTTGATACATCCGTTGTACTTAGTTTTTGCTAGATGAGGAAAGTTTTTGGAACTTAGAAGAAAAAATAAAGAAAAGCAAGGGTTAAAATGGAAACATATTTCTTCATTTGGAAAAAAGATGTACACACTTGGGTACATCCGCTGCTTTCAAGAAATTTTATTGTGAGAAAAACCTTTGGTACATTTGCTATACCTACATCTTTGCTAAATGGGGAAAAATTTTGGTGCTTGGAGGGAAAAATAAAGAAAAACAAGAATTTAAATGGAACAAAAATTGATGTACCCACTTGGGTATATCTGCTACATTGAAGAAATTTTCCTGTGAAGAAAATCTTTGATACGTCTGTTGTACTAACATCTTTGCTAAATGAATTTTTTTTGGGACTTGGAGGAAAAAATAAAGTGAAACAAGGGTTTAAATGAACAAAAATTCGTTCATTTGGAAAAATGATATATCCACTTGGATACATCCGCTGCATTCAAAAAAAAATTCTATGGAGAAAACTTTTGGTACATCAGCTGTCCCTACATCTTTGCTAAATGAGAAAAGTTTTTGGGACTTGGAGGAAAAAAAAAAGCAAGAATTTAAATGAAAAAAAATCTTCATTTGGAAAAAAGATGTACCCACTTGGGTACATCTGCTGCATTCAAGAAATTTCTCTTAAAAGAATTTTTTTTTGTACATCCTTTGTACCTACTTTGTTAAATGGGAAAAAAAATTTGGGACGTGGAGGAAAAAATAAAGAAATGTAAAGGTTTAAAAGGAAAAAAGATGTACTCACTTGGATACATCCGCTGTACTTACATCTTTGCTAAATGTGAAAAGTTTTTGGGACTTGTAGGAAAAAATAAAGAAAAATATGGGTTTAAATGAAAAAATTTATTCTTTTGAAAAAAAATGTACCCACTTGGTTACATCTGCTGCATTTCAAAAAAAATTCTGTGAAGAAAACTTTTGGTACATCCGTTATACTTACATCTTTACTTAATGTGAAACTTTTTTTAGACTTGGAGGGAAAAATAATGAGCTAGAAGAGGACTGTCTATATCTCTACAATCTACACAGCCACAATGGCTTAACGATTTGGCATTGGTTGATTAGGTTATCCTTTCTATGTAACAAGAGAAGTTACAGTGGTCCTAGACCACGTGGTCCTTACCCAAATGTGAATTTTTTTTTTCGACTCGACTCCTTTTTTTTAGTTATATTTTCATTCATGTCCCTAAAAATTTTCCACAATTAATAAAAGAAGCAACCAAAATTGTGACATTAACACATAAGGTTGGAAGTTAGCCATGAACCACCTAGTTTAAATAAGTGCAACTACATTAAATAAATAAAGGTTTTAATAACTCTTCTGTCGCTAAATATGAAAAAATTTGCAGCAACACTTATTTCCCCTAGCCCATAAATAAATAGCCCATAAATAAATAGTATTAATATATATATATATATATATATATATATATATATATATATATATATGGGAAAAACAAGTATCATGTTGTAGGACAATTCTCTTGTCATGTTATAGAGGCAACCAGTGTGGGGTCCATTGTTGCGGATCTAGCAAGTGTACTAGTCGTATAAGTAATAAAATGATGAGTAAAGATCGTTCCCACGAGGATTTGTGTCAAGCACTGACTAACCATATGTATTTGAGTTGAATCAAACAAAAGTTCATAGATTGCATAGATTTCTTGTCACCAGAAACTACACTGAATTGAATTAAAACTTGATAAATAAATAAAATGTAAATTATAATGTAAACAAGTAGTCAGATGTCATTTTCCCTCAAACATGAATTTATAGATGAACCAATTTCCATTATGAATTATCTACTATGTGATGTTGATCAACCTTTTTCTTATCATCTCAAGATGTAATCCCTTACTACCCTGATAGACACATTAATCAGAAACCCCAATCCCTTGGTGATTCCTTTCTTAATACATGCATTAATTACTAAGGTCTTAAGATCACATCAGAATCCTAGCATCAATCCCTTGACTACTAGAACACTGATGATGAAGTTGTCAAAAATAGAGAAACAATGTAAACATGTCTGTTCTACACTATTCCTCAACATGAAGAATTAATCAAGACAACTTCATACAATCACATAATAGATAAACAAAACATCTAATTAACCATTCATAAATTCAAACTTGAGTTCCATTGAATCAGACTACAAAGGACTCTCCTAAGACATAATTGAAATACAAACAAGAGAAGAAAGATTAAACTCCATTGACATGATAGTTGAGTCTTCAATCTCCAAGTGCAATTACATAGGAAATACTAACTATTACAAGAACTAATCCTAAGAATTTGGAAATTCAGAGAAAATGAGGAGTCAGATCAGATCTATGAAAGACCTGATCTGATCTCCCTTCTCCTAGTGTGATGAGAAAAGTCAGAATGAGATATGATGGATTGGATCTGATATCTGGAATATGTCAGAATGTCAAGGCCCCTTGTCCTTTTATAATTTACAAATTACAACTGAAAACTGACATGGGCGCTAAAACTCTCATTTCTGGACGTTTTAGCGCTCAACCTTGACGGATGCCCAACTGCTTTTAACTGTCTTGGGCGCTAAAACGCCCATTTTTAGCCGTTTTAATGTTCAGCACCAGCATCTTTTGTGCAACAGGGCGTTAAAACGCTCAGTTTTGGGCGTTTTAATGTTCAACATCAGCATCTTTTGTGCAACAGGGTGCTAAAATGTTTGACTTTGGGCATTTTAGCGCCCAACACTTAGAATTTTCCCATTCTTCAGAATCTTCTTCCTTCTCTCTTTTGCTTCTTGAGCTTCATTTCCCTACAAAAACAATGTAAATTTTCAACATAAGCTTCAGAACTTGTATTTGAGAGATTTCCAGGACATTAACCTCTTTTCCATCCATTTAATCACACAAATTGATATTAATTCATGCTTAAAAACCTAATGAACTAAGGGTTCATCATCCAGCATTTCTAAAATAAAAGGAAAAGAAAAGAAAATGCAGCACAAATATCGATGTATGTGTAAGAAACTCTACTATTGTCATGCAATATGACAAATGCAAAATCATATATATATATATATATCTCCAAAGAAAAAGGATATTCTAACTAGCAAAATTTTTTACTACCAATTTACTACCTATCTAATCACCATTAGATTAACATTTTCTCTCTCTTCAAAAACTTTTTAACATTCTCTCTTCTTTGATTTGATCCAATAGTGATGTGATAAATAATAAGTTAGCAGTGAGAATTTTTAGTAATTAGAATATCCTCGCTCATCTCCAAAAACAAGATTAACATATATAGCATAGGGGCGCTCGTGCGGTGGGGGAGGAGCACATGCCTAGCCTTGTGAGTGGCTGAAAGAATGAAGAAATCAAAAGGGCGAGAGAAGTCACTAAAATCACGCCGCTTTTCAAAAGCCACTAGGCATGGCCCTGCTTTTACTGTGGCTCTGCTGTTTCCTCATAAAAGCTTTTCTGACTGAGGAGGACCCCTCTATGTTTCGTTTGCACGGTGCATGCAATTAATATATCTACTTCAATTTTCACTGCATGAACTGCTTTTCTTTCCCGGCAAAGCGTTTAATGGAGTCATTCTTGGTTCTACCTACTTAATATGAATGATGTTATCTACTTCTACTTTGCCTGCCTAATACTACTATTACTATACAAGGTTCATATACATGCACTTCAGTTCAACTGTTTCAATTCAGGTAATAACTGATGATAGCCAAAGAATGTTTTGAGTTCAAATTCACTATGCACCATGGCACCCTTTTTGTTAAGTTTTGTGTTAAAAGTGACCTGCAAGCTATACAACTTAAAAGTTTACTTCCTAGCCAAAACTTTGTTCCACACGGACCACACCCATATTTAATGTAAGTCAACTTTAATATTAATAAAAAAAAATATTGGTTTGAGTGTTTCACCCTCATGCTTGACCTCTAAGCATTTAAAATTGGCGAATTTAACTTTGATTTTGAGTTTTATTGTAGAACTTTGCACTATCATGCAACAAAGTTATCATGTTGCCATATAATTAAAAGATAGTATCAAAGTTAAATTCAAAATTAATCCGTTACAGACAAGTTCAATAAAAGGAAATGCAATACTTTGATATATTATAAGACAGTTTATAATTCATGCACATGAAGTTGATCTTTACAACTAGGAATATCAACCCTTTTCCCTTTTTCTTTCTTTTTGTTCATTTAAACCGGCAATTGAGCTCGTATGTCTCTCACTTTATTAGGACAGGGCACACGTAATTAAGCGAAAAGACAGCTACAAATTTAACCAATGAAACAGAGGAAAAGAATGGTAGCTTCTGTAACAAGATGGGGCATTGAGCTTGAACAATAAATTAGGTTCTGTGTGCTACACGTAGCTTCCAAGATGAAAATCCTTGGAAGCTAGCACGAGCAGGTTTTGTCAAGTACCGAGTAATTTCATTTTTCACATTTCCCCGAATTTCGTACGACTATTTAACTCTGAATCTTCAAACTCTCATCTCATCAAACTTTTTCTACTCATATTTTCAGTCTTCTTCTTAGTTCTAGCTCTTCTCTCTCTCTCTCTCTCTCTATGTACTATCAACCTGCACATTCCATTTATGCTCTAGCTTTCTTCTCCGCTTCTCAAATGACTCTGCTTCTCTCTTCTGCTTTGCAGGTTACTTGAGAACAGATTGAAGGCATTTCAGGATGAGGGTTGTGTTGAAAAGTCCCAAAGCTCTAAGATTTTGCATGGTCTCAGTGGCCTCTCTCGTGGCCTTTTTCCTAGCTGCTCTCTTAGGTAACACCTTTAACCGTTGTGACTGCAATGTCGCACGCATGTACATGCACACCCTTTTTATATTTTATACCCTGTTGATCTGTTCCTCTTCAACTAACTTGGAAAGCCGGCCTGGCTCAGCGGTAAGTTTGCTTACCGTAGTGTTCCAGGTCAGGGGTTCGACTCGGCTCCCCTGCAAAGCAGGGGTGAGGCTTGACTCAAATTTCACTTCTCCAGACACTCACGGAGTGGGTCTTGAACTGGGTCAGCATTTTTTTATAAAAATATAACAAGTTGTTGATATGGTTCTTGTTTGCTTTTGATACAATGTACTAATTGCAAACTTGCTAGACTAGTTCTTGATGGCTGATTGATTTCTTCCTTTCCCCTTAATCTGTTTTCTTTATTTTCTGTTAAAGTTAGTTTAATTATGTATACACATAAGCTATTAAGATTACGTTTATTGCAATGCAGTGAGGGATTTACTAATTCACCAGGAAGATGAAAGAGATGCTGACATTAAACAGATGATTTTTTTCAAGGGAAACAGAACAGTGATAACCTCTCGGAAGCTACTGCAGTCTGCTGGCATGAGAAACCTTTCATATTTTCAGTCATATATTAATAAAGCAGGTTCCCATTTTAGTGTCTTGTCTTTGAAATTTTCACTCAGTGGAACTATATGTAATAATATTGCCACTCTAATAAAATGAATTTTTTTTTTTTGCTGTTCTAAGTCTTAACTATAGTGTATCTTATCTATTTCATAGATGATGGGGACACGAACCGTATAGGAACAGGTTGCTCAAAGGACGACATTGTGATATATCAAGACCAATTGCCTCCTCTTTCAAATGGGATTCCAGAGTACACAGTTGAAATCACGAACATGTGCGCCAATGATTGTAATATCGCAAATATTCGGGTTCACTGTGGATGGTTCAGCTCAGCACGTTTGATAAACCCGAGTGTGTTTCGGAGACTTGGATACGATGATTGCCTTGTCAATGATGGGATGGCCCTTGGCCCTGGAAGAACCATCTCCTTTCAGTATGCCAACACTTTCCGCTACCCTCTCTCCGTTTCATCTGTTGTTTGCTTCTCATGAGTTAGTTTAATTGTGCTTGTAACTTGGAACCAAAAAACAAGACATTGTTTACAACATGGGAAGTATATTTTATTCTAGGTGTGCTACCTCATCTGGTGTTGTGTTCTTTTTTGCAAAAACTAAAGCTAGATGCATTTGCAACCTTTTTGGTACAGCTAGTGGAAGCACTGACTAATTATTTAAAAAACAAATTGGAGATAGATTTGTGCTTTTTCTTATTGAAAGTTACTGCATGGAACACAAGAAATACAATGAACTGTCAAAATCTCGTGCTATAATTAGTAGATCAAATTCACTTTTAGTTCATTATAGAAGCTAATGCAGGGTTAACTGTGTGTCCTTTTAATTTTTATCACTATATACTAAGGCTATTTTATAATTATAACATGAAAAATTATTTTTTTCTCAGTCCATATTCTTCAAAGGACAAACCTTTTTCCCGCTAATGTATAGACTAAATTGAAAAAAAACAAGGGCTGAAATGTTGTTCCTCTGCCTATAACCTATAGTCTATACTATATAAATCAATCTCTTAAGTCTGAGCTGAGTCTAACCAATACATTCATTTGGACTGAATGAGAAAACTTGCAAAGGTAGTTTTTAGCTTGTAGGCTTTTCTCTGCTTATCAAAAGCCGGGTAGCCTTTTCCAGCTCCTTCCTCATAAATTAAAAGCTTCTCTGACTGAAAGGAGGAACATCCTTGCTTCATCCACACGGTGCATGCAATTAATCTACTGCATTTTCTCCCGGCAAAGCGTTTAATCGGAGTTATTCTTGGTTCTACCTACTAATATGAATGATGTTATCTACTTCTACTTTGCCTGCCTAATACTGTTGTACAAGACTGATTTAAATGTGCTTCTTGGCTTCCTCCTTCAATGCTAAGCCCAAGTCCATTTGAGGGGTTTCCTAAAAACCCTAACCCTAATTTCCACCTCTCTATATATACTCATTAGTTGTGGGTGGAGGCTAGGTCAGATTTGAGAGAGGTCAGATTTGAGAGAATTATTTGATTGTTTGAGCAAGGCTTTATGCTTTGCATTTGAAAGATCTCTAGAGAGAGAGTTTGAGTGAAACATCTCTAGGGTAGTTTGATTATCACCATTGTTGGAGAGGTTGAGTTAACCACCACATTGGTGTATTTGATTATTTGTAACCATTATTTTCATAGTGAATTTCTGATTTGGACTAGGTCCCGAGGGTTTTTTACTTCTTAATTCAAGAAGGCTTTCCCACGTTAAATCTGGTTGTGTTCTTCTTCTCTCTCTCTCTCTCTCTCCTGTTTTCGTTTTGATTTTTCCGTTGCGCTGCCTGACCTAGTGAAGTTCAGGCTGAGGTATTGCCGAGATCCGAGATCAGGATCTTGTTGATTGACTTCCGCACAAAGGCCCCTGAGCCGAGCTTGAGGGAACCGAGTTTTTCCAACAGTGGTATCAGAGCCCGAGTTCGACGGGTTCTGAGGGAGACGAGATGGAGACCAGTGGCATAACTCATGATGGAGATATGTTCAAGTTGACCGCTGACAACTTCACTTATTGGAGACCGATGATGAAAGATCATCTCTACTGCAAAGATTTGCATGAGCCCATTATCCTTGATGAGAGACCGGCAGGCAAGACAGATAAGGAGTGGGAGATCCTGAGTCGGAAGGCGGTAGCCACGATGAGGAAATATATTGATAAAAGCCTCTTTGAGCACGTGTCCGAATTCACGAACGCGTATGAGTTGTGGATGAAATTAGAGTCCATGATTCAGAAGAAGACTCCCAGGAACAAAGCACACCTGGTTCGCCGACTTGTTAAGCTTGAATACAAGGACGGCATGAGCATGATTGAACACCTGAACACCTACAAAGGTATTGTGAATCAGCTGTCAAAGGCTGATATGAAAATTGATGAAGAATTGCAGGCATTGCTGCTGTTGAGCTCGCTGCCAGAAAGCTGGGATACTCTGGTGGTGACCCTGAATAACTCGACTCCAGATGGAAAATTGAAGATGGATGTCGTGACTGACAGCCTCCTGGGCGAAGAATCCAGGAGAAGAGAACGAGGTACTTCGAGTACGTCTGAGGCCAACGTTGCTGAGAACAAAGGGAAATCCGACTCCCGCGGTAGAAGCAAAAGCTGAGGTAGAGGTCGTGACAGACGAGACAAGTTCAGAGGTCGGTCAAAGCCGAAATATGAGTTGAAGTGCTTTTACTGTGGAAAGACAGGCCATAAGAAGCCAGACTGCTTGACCCTACAAAATGATGAGAAGAACGGCTCTGTGAAGCCGGATCAGATTATTCCCAATAAGAGGGAAGACAAGAGCACCACTGCGGTGGCTGCAAACCCTGATGCTGATATATTCCTCCTAGGTGAGGATAATTATTTGAATGTTGCATATGATGACTGCACCTGGATTGTTGACTCCGGTGCCTCCTTCCACGTTACTCCACACAAAGGTTTTTTCTCCTCTTATCGAGGTGGTGATTTTGGAGTCGTGAAGATGGGAAATCAGGTGACCAGCAAGATTGTTGGTGTCGGAGATGTAACTCTGACCACAGATGTCGGATGCCGACTTGTGTTGAAAGATGTGAGGTATGTTCCTGACATGCGTTTGAACCTAATCTCGGTAGGCAAACTTGACGATGTCGGGTTAGTGAACTACTTCGGTGGTGTGAGATGGAAGCTGGCCAAGGGAAACTTGGTCGTGGCCCGAGGTAAGAAAGAAGGCTCCTTGTACGAGATGCAAGGAAAGATCAAAGGCGGAGAAGCCAATTCTATTCGAGAAGAACCTAGCTTGGAGCTATGGCGCAAGCGGCTCGGCCACATGAGCGAGAAAGGGCTACAGATCCTGAACAAGAAAGGATTACTGACCGGGTTGAAAGGCCAAGCGTTGGAGAGTTGCACGCACTACCTAGCTGGAAAGCAGCACCGGGTTTCTTTTGTGAGACCGGATGTTTGCTCCATACTGATGTTTGCTCCATGTCGGAGAAATCTCTTGGAGGAGCTCAGTACTTTGTTTCATTTATTGATGACCATTCCCGCAAAGTGTGGGTATATTTGTTGAAGTCTAAAGACCAGGTACTCCAATCCTTTAAAGAATTCCATGCTATGGTTGAAAGGGAGACTGGCAAGAAATTGAAGGTGGTCCGATCTGATAATGGTGGTGAGTATTGCGGCCCATTTGATGCATACTGCAGAGCGGCCGGGATTCGACTTGAGAAGACGCCTCCGAAGACTCCACAGTTGAATGGACTTGCTGAGAGGATGAACAGAACTATTGAAGAGAAGGTCCGAAGCATGTTATCCAATGCCGGATTGCCGAAATCATTCTGGGGAGAAGCCGTCAAAACTGTTGTTGATTTGATCAACCTCTCACCATCACGGCCACTTGAAGGAGAAATTCCAGAAGAAGTCTGGACAGGTCGGAAACCTACAATCAACTGAAAGTGTTTGGATGCCGAGCTTTCGTGCATATCCCTAGAGATGAAAGGGCCAAACTTGATGCAAAGACAAAAGAATGCATCTATCTTGGTTCGCCGAGATGTGAGTTCGGGTTCCGACTTTGGGATCCAATCAATAAGAAGATCGTGAGAAGCCGAGATGTGATCTTTCATAAGCATGAGAACATTCATGACATCTCAAAGCCGAAAGTCCGGGTTATTGTCAGACGTGAAGAACCCATCCCTCCTGTCCGAGCTGAAGCAGGGGGAGAAAATCAAGAAAATGATGATCAGCGACAAGCTGAAGATGATCAAGACATTGAGGTTCGAGTTGATGATGAGATCCGAGATGAGAATGATGAACCGGGTTCTCAAGCTGAAGAACAGCCGAGATATCCAACTCGAGAAAGAAGACCCTCTACGAGATACCCATATGATGAATACACCGTTGTTGCTGAAGACGGTGAGCCTCAGAGTTATGATGAGGCTGTGACGAGCTCAAAGAAAGAAGAATGGGAAAAGGCAATGCAAGACGAGATGAAGTCTCTGCACGAGAATCAGACTTATGAGCTGACCGAGTTGCCTAAAGGAAGACGAGCTCTGAAAAATAAATGGGTCTACAAGATTAAGAATGAAGAGAACAGGCAAAAGCCGAGATACAAAGCCCGGATTGTAGTGAAAGGCTGCAATCAGAAGAAAGGAGTTGATTTTGAGAAGATTTTTTCTCCTGTGGTGAAAATGACCTCGGTCCGAACCGTGTTAGCCATTGCGGCTTCGATGGACCTCGAGGTAGAACAAATGGACGTGAAGACGGCATTTCTTCACGGTGATTTAGAAGAAGAGATATATATGGAGCAACCTGAAGGATTCCAAGCTCCAGACCAAGAAGACTTGGTATGTCGTTTGAAAAAGAGCCTCTATGGCTTGAAGCAAGCACCTCGGCAGTGGTACAAGAAGTTTGAATCATTCATGAATGATCATAAGTTTGAAAAGACAGATGCCGACCACTGCGTATTTGTGAAGAGGTATGAGGCCGGAGATTTTCTGATTTTGTTGTTATATGTTGACGACATGCTTATTGTAGGGAAAGATAAATCGAAGATAGCCGCCTTGAAGAAGGCGTTGAGCTCATCCTTCGCAATGAAAGACCTCGGCCCTGCAAAGCAGATTCTCGGAATAAAGATTATCCGAGATAGACAGAAGAAGCTACTGTGGCTGAGTCAAGAGAAATATATTGAGAAGATTTTGAAGAGATTCAGCTTGGATAAAGCCAAAACAGTGAGCACCCCTCTAGCCGGACACATAAAGCTGAACCAAAAGCAATGTCCTAGATCTGATGAAGATAAAGATGAGATGATGAAGGTCTCGTACCAATCCGCCGTCGGAAGCTTGATGTATGCAATGATTTGCACTAGACCCGACTTGGCGTATGCTGTTGGAATGGTAAGCCGGTATTTGTCAAACCCCGCAAAGAGCACTGGGAAGCAGTGAAGTGGATCTTTAAGTACCTCCGAGGTACGACCGACTTATATCTCCGATTTGGAGAGGGCAAAGCCGAGTTGCAAGGCTACTC